TGAAGGATACAGTTACAATTCAGTGGTTGTGCAGTCCCCACTGTCTAATGCCATTTTCATTGCCCCAAAAAGAAACACGTATCCATCAGTGGCCACTTTCCACTCCCCTACTCCCTGGCCTGGCAACTGCTAATCTACTCGCTAACTCTTTAGATTTGTCTGTTCTCGATATTTCATATAAGTAGAATCATGTAATATATGACCTTTCTTTATTGGTTTCCTTTACTTAGCATAATGTATTCAAGATCATCTACGTTGCGACATGAATCAGTATTTCATTCTTTTTCACAGCTGAATAATACTCCATTGTATGCATATATACATTTTTTTAATTCCGTCATCTGTTGATAGACTTTTGGGTTGTTTCCACTCTTTGGTTATTATGAATAATGCTGCTGTGAACATCTATATATAACTTTTGTGTGTGTACATATATTTTCAGTTCTTTAGTTATATACCTAGGAGTGCAGTTGCTGGGTCATTTGGTAATTCTGTGTTTAACTTTTTTTTTTTTTAAGATTTTATTTATTTATTTTAGAAATAGAGCGTGAGTGGGTGTGGGGTAGGAGTAGAGGGAGAGGGACCAGCAGACTCCATGCTGAGCACAGAGCCCAACATGGGGCTTGATCCCATGACCCTGAGATCATGACTTGAGCCGAAATCAAGAGTCAGATGCTCAACCGACCGAGTCCCCCAGGTGCCCCTGTGTTTAATTTTTGAAGAACTATCAAACTCTTTTCCAAAGAGGCTGCACCATTTTATATTTCCACCAGCAATGTAGTAGGGTTCTGATTTATCAGCATCCTCAACAACACTTGTTAGAATCCATCCTTTTGATTATATCCATCCCAATAGAGGTGAAGTACCTTATTGTGGTGTTGATTTGTGTTTCCCTAGTGATTAATCAAGGATGTTGTGCATCTTTTCAAGTGCTTATTGCCATTTGTATATTTTCTTTGGAGAAATGTCTATTCAGATCCTTTGTCCATTTTTAAAAAGATTTTATTCATTTATTTGAGAGAGAGAGAGAGAGAGAGAGCATCAGCAGGGGGCTCAGGCAGAGAGTGAGGGAGAAGCAGGCTCCCTGCTGCAGGGCTCAAGCCTAGGACTCTGAGATCATGACCTGAGCTGAAGGCAGACGCTGAACTGACTGAGCCACCCAGGCGCCCCCCGGTTTGTCCATTTTTAAATTGGGTATTTTGTCTTTATTGTTGTAGGAGTTCTTTCTTTCTATATTTTTATACATTGTGGATACAAGTCTTTTATCAGATATGTGATTTGCAAATATTTCCTCCCATTTTGTGGATTGTCTTTC